TTTGCCATGGATCCCCCTCCGGCATGCCACAGTCCAGGTGTTAGTCCCCTTGAAACAACTTTTCCATCCCTATTGTGGCCAGAAAGAGTCCCTGCGTGTTTTAAAATTCGCATGCCCATTGAAGTCAATGGCGGTTCGGGCGGTTCGCCGGTTCGCGAACATTTGCGGAAGTTCGCGTTCGACGTTCGCGAACCGAAAATTTCGGGTTCGCGACATCACTAATAACTATATGTCAGAAGATGTCATACATGAGATGTCTGGTAGATAATACAATGATAAAAGGTGTATGACTGTATAGAGTGTTTAAAATTCACTAAATAAGATACACATTATGAAATTAATTGTCACTTGTTACAAAAACAAATTAGATAAATAGGATAATTTATGAAACTTACAATGCACAGTATAAGAATGAAGGAGGGTCCAGTGTTTAAGACACAATTGATTAAAGATCCAGATAGAGAACGAGAGAATGGAGATAAAAGGTTTAACCCCTTAAGGACACATGACATGTGTGACATGTCATGATTCCCTTTTATTCCAGAAGTTTGGTCCTTAAGGGGTTAAAGAGACTTTTTTTTTCTTTCTCTTTTCTCTTTTTAAGTGGACATATAAAAGAAAGCACTTTGAATTTATGAAGTATTGATATATACAACCTTCGCTAGACCATGGATAGCACTGTGAAGCAATGCGGACCATTTGTTTTTAGAGTCTGGATGGATGAGAAGGGCTTTTGCTGTTCTCTTTCTGCCCACACACTGGATTCTTTCAAGAGGGGGTTTCTTACTCCCGGAGGAGAGTGAGGAGGGTATTTTTTAGGGAATTTTTTTTTTTTATTGGGTTTCTTTTTTTTTGTTACGTGCACATATGGGGAGGGTGGGATTGCTGTTTGTGGCAAACCTAGCCACTTGGACATTACTTAAGGACTACAGCTTTAAGGGTTGCCTGTACTGTTTTGGTGATATGTATGTTCCTGGGTGTAATGTAATGTGATTGTGTAACATTGTATTGCCTGCATTGGCTATCTGCCGAAAGCAGATAGCTGATTCCCTTTCGTTTCATGAACAGCGCCTTTGCGGGCCGTTCGTGAACCGAATAACCCACCCTGTAACAGCCCACACATTGAGTAATTAGAGGCTCTCCTAGGTGGCCGTCGTTCGGCTACCGACCATGCGGCGGTCAGCCATCTTGGATCCTTTGTTCCTCCAGCGGTGTTTGGTCGTCAAGCGCGTGGTACTAAAAACGGCTACTTGACGGCGCGAACACCGCTGGGCTCCCAGGCCGGATTTATTATTGCCGCTCCGCTACACTGTTGATATGGGACTTGTCACCTGCTCAAAGGTGGACATAATTAACCAGGTTTTAATATTAAAATAGTCACAATAAATGCTTGTAGTGTCAACTCACCCCCCCCAAAATAGGTATTTAATTAAAATTTCTGAGAAAGGAACAAATTCATATATGTGCAATACAAGAAACACATTGGAAAGAAGGGGACGTAATGAGAATTAGGTCAAATCACTACCCTCATATATATACTTCATCATTAATAGATACGAAAAAGAAGGGAGTTGCTATTATCTTCTCAAATAAAATTTCATTAAAGGTATCACATCAGAACAGTGATAATTAAGGCAGATATCTGATACTGGTATGCGAGATAAACAACAAATTATATAGTCTTGCCAGCATGTATGCTCCTAACCACTCTCCTATTAACCCCTCAACCCCTTAACAACGAGTGACGGATGAGTCACTCAGGGGATTGCCATAACAACGAGTGACGGACCTTGTCCATCACGCGTTAAAATTAACCCCAGATCGCTGCAATCCCTGCGATCGCCGCAATCGCAGGGTTAATGGTGCTCCGGTCTGCCTCTGTATTAGAGGCAGACCGGGACCACCTGATAGTGCTGCCCCAGCACATGTGCTCACTCTGACAGGCTGTCAGAGCGAGCACATGTACTCAGTATACTTACCTTCCACCTCCCTGCACTTCCTGGTTCTGTGTGAAGTGCAGGGAGCCAGAACAGTGCTGATCCTGCCCCCTGTTAAAAAAAATAAAGTTTTTTTTAAATTCCACCCCCTTTACCCATTTTATTAAAAAAATAACCCCTTCCCTGCCAATTGTTCACTGACTACAGTGATCAATTGGCAGGGATTACATTTTACTGTCATCTGATTTTTTTTTTTTACCCCTGAGGGTTAATTCTTTTTTTTAATCCTCAGGGGTTAAATTTATTTGATTAATTAATTTAAATATTTTAAAATGATATATTTAGCTAGCTGGGGTGGGTGGAAGTTAGTGGGGAATTGGGGAATTTAGTGTTAGGCTAACTAGGGGTTAACGTTAAAAAACGTTTTAAAATAAACTTTAAAAAGTTAAAAATTTAGCTAATTTTTATTTATTTTTTTTTTTTTTAATTCTTTATTTTTCTTGTGCATAGATTAACAACAAGCGTGCAGTGCCACAACAGCATCTACAGGCAATTGCATGACATTTCAATGTGTGGCATTTTAGACAGCACAATTTTTCTTTTATAAATGCGAGGGTAACAGGCTATTAGACAGGAGCATTTTATAATGTAACACGCTAGACTAGATATGCATATATCAAAACTTGTTGTGCTTGAGATGTTAAACAGTATGGCATTAGAATTAAATCAATAGGAGAGAAGCTGATATGCAATTATGTATGTCCTATCGGATTAAGATCCCTGAGCCCTCGGCATCACACAGCCAGCTAAACAAGCGTGGGTATCCACTGTACAGGCTGCATGGAGAGTCACCCCAGTCCCCACGTAGAGATCCCCATCTCCCACCGCCATTTTCAGACATGAATCTGTTGGCGGGCAGCCATCAATCAGCCTTGTTAGCCCAGTCACTGCTCAGAGCCAGGTGCTGTGTGTCGCTTGAGGTTGTGGAGTGACTTGAGATTTCTCCATGTTGCGGGAGCTGATGCTGCAAAGCCAGGAGGTGGCGTGTGGAGAGGGAGAGGTCGGTGCTTCCGGCAGTCTCCCTCGGTGTCGATTGTTAGCACCCAAGCGTGACACAGACAGTGTTGCCCTGCCCTGCCCGCATGGGGCGCCAAGAGCCCCGAGAGGGACCACCATCTCAGTGGAGGGAGGAATGGACTCCGTCGCCATCTTGTTCGGTAAGCAGGTCCTCCAATGCAAGTAGCTGGCATTGTTAGTAAGCTGGAAGTAGGGCTTCAGGGTGGACCGGGATGACCCCCACCGGTCCAAAGGGGGGGAGGCAGGGCCATCGCCTAGCGGAGTCGAGGGTCTAGCTTTTTTCCAGTATGCAGGATAGCAGGGTGGCGGCCGTCCACCCCACTCACTGCTGGATTAGGCCTTAGGCACCAAGATTAAATTTCTCCCCTCAGGGGGCCAAGACTTCGGTTTTGGGACAATCTTTAGGACCAGTACCTCTTAGTGCATGTGGTGGTAGCTTCTTGGTGCCTGGCATAGGATCAGACCGCCTTTGTGGGCCAAAAGGCTTGAAAATGCTGGGAGCTGTTCTTCCATGCGACTTGTGTGCATGGCGGTCAGGCCCCGCCCCCCCAGCTAATTTTTTTTTTTAATAACGTTTAAGTAAAAAATAAAAAACACTCCCCTTTACCAAGTCCAAATAAAAATTAACCCCTTCCCTGCCAGTCGATCAATGCCTACAGTGATCAAAATACAGATCACAGTATTATACTGTGATCTAATTTTTTTTAACCCCTGAGGATTAACTTTTATTTATTTTTTAACCCTCAGGGGTTCAATTTATTTAATTAATTAATTTAAATATTTTATAATTATATATTTTGCTAGCTGGGTGGGTGGGAATTATTGGAAAATGGGGAATTTACTGTTAGTGCTGCTTGCTGCTAGTTAGGGGTTAACTGTAAAAGCTTAGAAAAATGTTAAATCTGTAAAAAAAAGTTTTAAGAAAGATTAGGAAAGTTTAAAAAAATTAATAAGCAAAACAAAAGTTTAAAAACTAGTTTTTAAAAGTAAAAAAAGTTTAAAAAGTAAAAAAAATGCATTTAAAAATGCTCATTACAACAACACTTGGTACAAGCTAGCGGAAAAATGATCCCACGCTAAGGTTCAAAATATGCCTTTTGAAATACCCTGGGATGTCTTCTTTAAGAAATGGTTTGGCTTTATGGGGTATTTGGATTATATAGCCTGGTAAAATACTCTAAAATGGGACATGGGCACAGAGTAAAAATGTAAAGTTTGAAAAAAACTGGAATGGCTGTGTCCCAAATGTGCCCCTCCGATGTCCACATATACCTGGCAAAGGTACATATGGGGGTATTGCTATACTCAGCCGAAATAGCTGAGCAACATATGAAGTATTATACAGTGGTAGCACACATAAGGTTTGCAAAATATACTGTGCAAACTCACTTTGTGTGTACAAGCTAGCGGAAAAATGATCCCACGCCAAGGTTCAAAATATACCTTTTGAAATACCCTGGGGTGTCTACTTTAAGAAATGGTAGGCCTTTGTGGGATAGTTTGAATTTAAACCCTGCTAAAATGCTTGGAAATTGCACATAGGCCCAGCGTCAAAATTCAAAGTTCGGTACAAACTGAAATGGCTTGGTCTCCTATATGGCACTGTTGCTTCACGAAATAGTGCCAAAGACATTCATTGGGGGTGTCTTTTTACTCAGAAGACTTAGCTGAGCATAATTTGGGGGGTTTGAACTTAGTGGCACATGTGAAATATACAAAATGCCCTGCAAAAATGCAATCCATTTGTAAAAAATGCACAAAATTATTTTTTTTCACATACTTTGGCATATATTGGTGAAAAAATGGGGGCATGTTAAGGCACAATATGCACCTTATGAGATACCCTGGAGTGTCTACTTTTACAAATGGTAGGCCTTTGTGGGTTTTTTTTTTTGAACAGTCAAACTGTTATAATACCCCAAATGGAAGCATAGGCTCATTAAATCCGTTTCTCAAAATTCTACTGTGAATACTGAAAAGGACAGGTTTCCTATATGGCACTGTAGCTTCACGAAATAGTGCCAAAGACATACAATGGGGGTGTCATTTTACTCAAAAGACTTAGCGGAGCATAATTTGGGGGGTTTGAACTTAGTGGCACATGTGAAATATACAAAATGCCCAGCAAAAATGCAATCCATATGTAAAAAAAACGCACAAAATAATTTTTTATCACATAACTTGGCATTTATTGGTGAAAAAATGGGGGCATGTTAAGGCACAATATGTACCTTATGAGATACCCTGGAGTGTCTACTTTTACAAATGGTAGGCCTTTGTGGTTTTTTTTTTTGAACAGTTAAACTGTTATAATACCCCAAATGGAAGCATAGGCTCATTAAATCCGTCTCTCAAAATTCTACTGTGAATACTGAAAAGGACAGGTCTCCTATATGGCACTGTAACTTTACGAAATAGTGCCAAAGACATACAATGGGGGTGTCATTTTACTCAGCAGATGTAACTGAACAAAAAATAAAACATTGTACAGGAATAGCACACACCAACTTTACAAAATACACATGAGAGTTTCTTTGTTATATGTTTGTGTGCCAAAAAAAAAACAATTTTACTCCAATATTTAGCAGAGGTTGGCGGTGAAATGGCTACGTGGAAAGTGTCAAATCAACCTTAGGTAAATAGCCTATGATGTCTACTTTATATAAATATATACTTTTGTGTGACAATTTTGTTTTCTTTTATGGCTATTAAGCTTACTAGACAAACATACCAAATTCTAAAATCGCTCCACATTAAAAGTTTATTTTACTCCTTGTGCTTTGTGACCTGTAGCTACCAAAAAAAACTTAAAATCCCAGAGACATATATTCTGTAAATCAGAAGAACTAAATTAATTTATTTTTAATTACTTGCCTTAACCTGCACTAATTATGCACACATTATTATTGCAAAAACTGTATTTTTGGGGGGCATTTTTCTGTATTTTTTATAATAAATAAGCATTTATATATATATATATATATATATATATATATATATATATATATATATATATATATGTGTGTGTGTAATACATCAAATTAAACCCCCTTCTGTCCTTTAAAAAACGGTATATAATATGTGTCGGTGCAATAAATTAGTAAAATGCAAATTGCAGTTGAATGCAAACAGCAAAAAAAGCAAAAAATGCTGTTGTCATTAAGTGAAAGACAAGCTTCTGAAGCTCTGTCCTTAACCCCTTAACGACGTTACGGCGTTCTATGCCGTCCCGCATCAAATAGGCTTTAAAGCCGTTGCGGCGGCATAGAACGCCGTAACGGCTGAAGCCCCCAGGAGATCGGAGGTACTTACCTCCGCCGCGATCCTCTTCAGGAGGGCTGCCTGACAGCCCAGACAGCCCTCCCCTGGCAAATTAGGCCCCTGGGGGCCATGTGATTGCTCTCAAAGAGTGATCACATGGCCCCCTATAGCTGGCTGTGGATCTGCCAGTAGGGGGACTGTCTGAAATATCAGACAGTCCCCCTGCTGGTTTGAAGTGTAAAAAAAATAATATTAAACATGTTTTAAAATAAATTAAATGTGTATATATGTGTATATATATAATATATATATATATATATATATATATATGTATATATATATATATATAATATATATATACATCTTATATATATATATATGTAACGTCATACATAGTGTATTTTAATATTAATATAAATATATATATTAGTATTAAAATACACTTAGAATGATGTTACATATATGTAAGATATATATTATATATATATATATAATACATCTATATATATTTTATATTTACATATACACGTATAATTACAATAATAAATAAATAAAATAATAAAATAATTAAAATATTTTTTAAAAATTTAAATAAATTATATACACATATGTAATTTCATTCTAACTGTATTTTGTTATTAATATATATATATATATATATATATATATATATATATATGTATATATATATAAAACAAAATACACTTAGAATGACATTCTATATCTATCTATATATAAAATACAAATAACCGCAGATGTATATATATACAGATAAATATATAATTATATAATTACATAAATAACTACATAAGTGTACACGTAGACTTTCAATATATATATATGTATATATATTAAAATTCTATGTGTATATTTAAGTAATATTCTAACATAATAATGTAATTTAATTAGTTAAAATTTGATTGACATGCCTGACAACCCAGGCAAAAAGTGCAGAGAATTTGAATTGCAAGCACTATATTTAACCTTGTCCAAGACACCATAAAACCTGTACATGGGGGGTACTGTTTTACTCGAGAGACTTCGCTGAACACCAATATTAGTGTTTCAAAATGGTAACTTGTATTACAACAATGATATTTTTAGTAAAAGTGAAGTTTTTTGCATTTTTCACACATGAACAGCACTTTTACTGATGAATATTTGTGTTCAGCAAAGTCTCCTGAGTAAAACAGTACCCCCCATGTACAGGTTTTATGGTGTTTTGGAAAGTTAGAGAGTCAAATATAAGGCTTGCATTTCATTTTTTCATTTAAATTTGCCAGATTGGTTATGTTGCTTTTTGAGACCGTATGGTAGCCCAGGAATAAGAATTACCCCCATGATGACTACCATTTGCAAAAGTAGACAACCCAAGGTATTGCAGACAGAGTATGTCCACTCATTTTTAGTAGCCACTTAGTTACAAACACTGGCCAAATATTTGTTTTTTGCTTTTTTCACACAAAAAACAAATATGAACGCTAACTTTGCCCAGTGTTTGTGACTAAGTGGCTACTACAAAAGACTGGACATACCCCACTTGGGTAGCTACTTTTCCAAATGGTAGCCATCATGGGGGTAAATCTCATTCCTGGGCTACCACACGGTCTCAAAAGTAACATTACTAATCTGGCAAATTTCAATGTGAAAAAACTGAAAAATCGAATGTGCTATATTTGACCCTTTAACTTTCCAAAACACCATATAAACTGTTAATGGGGGCTACTGTTGTACTCGTGAGACTTTGCTTAATCCAAATATGTGCTTTTTTTGCAGTAAAAGCTAACAGTATTATGACGTTTATAGCTAAAATGTGAGGCGGAACTATAATTTTTTTTTTTTTATTTAAAATTTTCACAGTTTTTTTATTTTATTCATTATAAATTATGTTTCATATATAAATATTTGATATAAAATGAAAGCCCTGTTTCTCCTGAACAAAATGATATATAATACGTGTGGGTGCATATAATATGAAAGAGGTGAATTACAATTGAACAGACATATAGCGCAAATTCCAGTTTTTGTTTACATTTTGTTTTGATCAGAACGTGTACTATTGACTACATCCTGAAGGGGCCAAGGGGTTAAGGACTGAGATAAATGTACACATAATCAAAACAAAACGTAAACAAAAACTTGAATTTGTGCCATATGTCTGTTCAGACGTAATTCACCTCTTTCATATTATGTGCACCCACACGTATTATATATAATTTTATTCAGGGGAAACATGGCTTTCATTTAACATCAAATATTTAGGTATAAAACATAATTTAATATGAATAGAATATTAA